GATAACTGTATAAACATCAGTAGGATTGAATGACAAAAATTTCTTTACCTTAACGTTATTAATTTTCTTACCATAACTTTATTAATTAAAAACTTAATAAAGTTCAAACTTTATTCAAAATTTATACGGATTTATTACGGATCCATATTTATGAAACCTGCTTTGTACGGATAAAGTTAAATCACAAGCAGTTAAAGCCGGCATTATTTAATTTGGATGAAACAAGCACAAAACTTAAAACTCGGCCTTTATTCGGATAATGTGAAGTCCATCCACAGTTGATTGGATATAGCTGAATATAGATGATTCGTTTTATGTGCATGAGTATTTTGTTTTTTGTCCACTGCTTAGATAGTGGGAACAGAACAATGTTGTCAAGTCTGGCAATTTTTCGCCAGATTTCAAGCCAATCGGGATACGGCGACGATTTTTACAAACGTGATTTTTTCATACCTACGGCAAACTTCTTAGAATAGCACTTATAAACTCCAGAGCTACCTTTTATTAATAAATAAATTGACCTTGTGGTGCTATTTGCGGGACAAGGGTGACTCTGATCCCTGTATAGGGAAATGATGACCATCCAATGAAAAAAAAAAATAAATAAATAAATAAATTGAAAACAATACAAAAATAGCTGTCTTAAAAGTTCTTTCAACACATACAGCGATATAAACTACGTAAAAATATGCTGCGGCTCTATCTTTTATTTATTTACCTGGCATACAATACATAGACCTATTGGTATTATGTAAATTAAAACACTTCTTTTTGTTACCTTAAAGCTAAATCTATAATTTCTGACTTTACAGATACTATTTTTTGTTAGATCTGGCGATATTTTTGTAAAATAAATGGCAACATTTACTTTTGTTTATCTCGTTTGTTATGCAATCAATAAATACAGTCGAAACCAGTTAACGTAAAATTAAAGAAACAAAATTTGGCACTGTGTATTAAGAAAACTCTACAGAACTCTACAAAACTCAACAGCCATACCACCAACTGGCCTAATAATTTTTCCCAGTTATTTCACTGGTTTTTTCTTGTTTACAATATGTTAAAATATATAAATAAATAAACTTATGTGCTGTTCCAAACACATTTTATTGAGATACGGCTATTTGAAGAAAGAAATCTCTGTAATCACTGTAGAAATGCACTATACATATTATGCACATTTCTAAGTGACTTAAAAAATGCTCGTTTTCAACATCGGTTAGAGTTGATCGGACATGATTAAAACTACTGAATACTGTATAACATACTGACCTTACCCCAAATTAAACGCAGGAGCTGAATAGACGGAAAACTTTTCAAATTTAAAAATAACTCATTTACTTGGCTTCTAATGGAAACGATTTGTTTTTATTTTAAAATTTCTAACTAATCACAGTATTTAATATTGTAATTTAGTTGTTTTGTTGTTTTTTGTTATTAAATCAATTAAAACTAAGAACTATTTTGTAAAGCTAAAAATTTTTAATTAAAACACCCAATTCTATTAACTTCCGGTTTCTAATTAGCGTGTTAACTGTCTTGGCAAATCCTTCTGCGTTGTCACAGTGTACAAAGCACCAATTATAAAAGAAAGTGTGATTTTTCGAGTTGGAACGAACATCGTTAATGTGGAGTATACATGTGTTGCCAATGACAACTGACAACGACAAATTAATCATTTTCATTTGACGTTGTCAGTTGTCATTGACAACACATGTATACTCCATATTACTGACGTTGCATTGTGACTAATGATAAAGTGAAAAAATTACCCCTGATAATAATGTGAATTGTGCGTTGCCATTTTGGATCGTGTGACTTCGAGGAAGTAGAGAGACTTGTATTAAACGGCACTGTAATTATTATTGAATTCACGGAATCAAGACACGCTTCATATTACATGTTAATTAACCGGTATTTTTATTAACTGAAGTCGTTAACTTTGAAATGACTATCCTCATCCTAGGAATCGCAAATCTACTTTGCATCAACCGATAGCGTAATAACGGGGTTTGACTGTAATAAATTCAAGTTGATTTAAAAACAAAAAGATTTTTTATCTATCTATCTTTCATTGGAAAGATTACAGATTATCCAGTTGAAGTGAAACTTTAATTTTTCTCCTTGCTTTATTTAAAATGTGGTGGATAGAGTTCTAATTTTAAGTTTTGTTTTTGCTTCATCTATCAATTTTTGATAATGTCAGTTTTGCCTGCTTGTAACTTTGATAAAGTACGCTTTATACGGACAAAGTTCAAAATTAATAAAATTATTATTAATTTTGGACTTGGACCAAAATACTTGGATAAAGTTAGTATTAGCTAGTGAATCGTAGCAAGTTATTATTCGATTCAGGGCATTAGCCTTAACATATAGGATACAGCAGGGATGTCCAACCCGCGGCCCGCAGGCCGCATGCGGCCCACGGCAAATTCCAATGCGGCCCAATAAACGCGTAAACAAAACCAACAAATTGTTTTATTTTTTATTTATTTATTTCTTTCAACGGCATAAACTCAAAAAAGAAGTTTCACAAAGCCGTAAACTTTTATACATATTTTATTTTTGAGTGAAAAGGAAATACTTTCAAATATTTGACGAAGGAATACTAAATAAAGCTGAAGTTGTGCAAGATTTGGCTACTTTGCGCCAAATTTGGCTACCCTTTTTTTTAGTTTGGCGTAAAAATTATCATTTTGCGCATTGGCTACTTTCTGGGCTACATATTATTTGTAATATTAGATAAATAAAAATGCACTTTAAAATGGTATTTCGTAGTTTTTTATTAATTAGAGACCCAAATAAAACAAATATTTGTGTTTTTCAAGTAAATTTTTATTTGTCTCCTTTATAATAGATGAATTTATTTATTTCTAAGTAAAAATTGGAAGTCTGTAGAAGTAATTTTTTAAAATATTCTTTTTCGTGATAAAGTTTTAATACTTATTTCTATAATCTAGACATGTTAATCCTTAAATATACAAGTACATTTAAGGATTGTCACAAATATATTATATATGCTTGTTGCCCAAAACTCCATGACTTCTTCCAATGTGGCCCAGAGGAAAAAAAAGGTTGGACACCCCTGGGCTACAGTATAATAAACACCAATAAATTACAATAAAATGTTTCTAAATAGTAAATTCCAGTATTAATGGTATTATTAAGACATAATACATGGTGCATCTAAATCCAATTAAATGAAAAAAAAACATGTATATAATTTCAGTTTAATTTTCTTACTTACACGATCGTATATGCAATGAAAAAATAAAATATTTTAAAACTGAAGTGTCGTAATACAACCTAGAAAAACTCGTGATACAACTTAAAGACACCACAGTCACATAAGTAGAAAACAGTACTTTCTTGTGTGCTAATGAATTAATGCAAACGTTTCCGAATAAAGAAAAACCACCAAGCGGAAGTTCGTTCACAACCAATCGCATGAAATCTGCTAATTTTGTATCTGTGGTGATTTATTGTTAAAAACTGACAATAACGAGACATTACGAGGTAAAATATGCTTATTTTTTATCGCTTATCACTAAGGATATAATGTTTATGCTTATTATACATTATTTTCAATATCAACAGATACAAATAATAATTGAAGAACTTGGGAAAATGGCGTATTCCTCGTTAGGAAATTTTCGAGAGAAAGGATTTGTATTTCAGTTCGTTGACACTTTAATATGCAATACTTTATTAATGTGAGTGTACAACCGAACTGTGAAAGTTTCTTAGAAGACTGATCAATGATGCGCAAATCCAAATTTGTTAATAACTCATTTTTTTGTAGTTTTGCCATTTTTTCACTGACCCTTTCATTTAGCCTATTTATAAAATAATAATAATAATTTTCACGATTAACGATAAAACTTACGTCGATTCAAGAAAGAATAAATTTTAAGGATTGTAGGATTAATGAGATAAGGCAACGCAACACATGAGCAATCTAAAGCAACCAAGAGGAAAACCTTCCCGGGAAGACTTTCTACGGGAATCTAGCTCTATTTAGATGTTAGAAATGTAAAGAAAACCGAAAAATTCCACATAGCTAGTCAGCTGGAGAGCGCGAAATTGCGATCAACTACCAGTTTTTAATAGTTTTATCCACTCGAGCACTGCTGGGGGTGGTCCATCTACTTATGACTTATACTCAATATTTATACTCAATATGGCCGGCCAATCGAAAAGTTTTGCTGCCAGGGATTTATAGTATTAAAAGTGTTATTATGTTGTGTTTTTACCTTAATAACCTTACAGGAAATGCAATGGAGGAAAATTTGTTTTATTCATCTATTATTTACTTTCATTCACCTTGTTCCTTTTATAATAAAACTGAAACTATAACTTAAGCATCACTAAATGGAATTTTTTCTGTAGATTCCACGTGGGAAAACGCTACATTCTTGTACTAAATGATTACGCAACTGTTAAGGATTTGATAAATAAAGAAGAATTTTTGAATAGACCAAACATTCCTCCCATGAGTTTGCTTAATAAAAACTGTAATTATTACTTTTAATTTATTTCTTTAAATCGTATATTAAAATAGTAAGTTCTTAAGTAACTTCTGTCGTTGAACTAATATTTCCAGAATCAATTATTAAAAGCCTTATGGTCATTTCTTTTGTCTTAATTAGCATTGGTTTCATCGAATGGAAGAATATATAAGAGAGAAAAACGGCTTTCCATGAAAATTTTACATAAGTTGGCTTTTGAAAATAAATTCTTGGAAAGTGTAATTCAGGTGAATTATATTTCGTTCATTTATAAAAACTAAAATGTAAAAATAACCATATTTATATGTGATATAATAAAGAACGAAAAAACGGAACATTAGAAACGATGACGTCTTTCAGAATACATCCCCCAAACATCACCAAAAGAACAGGAATATTTCTGTTTTAAAATTATTTATAATTATTCGCATTTTTTTCAACTTAACGTATTATCTATATTTATGTTTAAACTAATAATTATTAAAAATTACAAACTGTGAAAACAAAATTCTCTAATCGCGATGTTTTATTTTTCACTGAAATACCTCAAAAAATATATTATTCTGAAGTAGGAATAAAATTAATAGTAGATAGAAATTCGTAATTTAGAAGACAAACAATTTTAGAAATTTAAATACAACAAAATCAAAAAATTTACTTTAAAAAACAAAAAAGGATTCTCGCAATGTTTATTTTTACTTTTCCGGCTTTTATACTTGTATATAACAGAGGGAAAGTATGGCGATCGGTCAAAAAAATGATCCTCCTAAGAATTTTGCATTTTTGGATTCGAGGAACCTTGCAAAAATATTTGGTTTTCCCCTGTATGTGTGGATGATGGGGCACGATTTTGTTCAGCACTTTGAAGCTTAATAACTCCTGTGCCTTTTGTCGAAAATTTCTGAAATTTTGCAGAGAGGTTTATGTTTTAGGGGGATTCGTGCTATTAAATTTTGGTGGTTAAAGGTCGGAGTGGGAAGGTACAGGGGGTGACTTTTCACATCTGGAGTGAGGTCGAACACAATAAAAATTTTACTCGTTATTAGCATTCGCAATTTTTTTTCTTTTTATCTCTGTCTTTAAAATTAAGCTTTTTGCCATTTTATAATACTTAATAATATTAAAAGTTTTTAAATAAAATCGCATAACAGATGTCGTCACACACAATTTTAACATTATTCTTGGGAAATTCTATGCATATCGTTGCTGGATTTTTTAATATTTATTTCCTTCTAATTATTACTCGTTATTTTTTTATAATATCAGCAATGTTACTGCTGTATAATCTTATAACAGACTAAATTTAAAAGAACTGTCGTTTAGATTTACTTATGACGTCGTTAGATATCATAGAAATTCATTATCAGTGTCGCTTATTCAAATGTTTGCTGTTTATACTTGTGTGGAAAATAAATTATTATCGATAAATCTCGTTACATGAGAATTTCTGGAGGCCTACTTGTCGGCACTGTAGTTAATAAGCTGGCCTGATATCTGACCGAATTTTCTGGATGGATAAATCGTGGATCGAAATTTCACTTTTGGATCCACGATAGAGAAACGAAAACCCGATAATAGCTAACGAGAAAAACAAAAAGTAGAGATAGGTTATAGTTCAATAGAAAATAAAACTTTCGAATAGAATCACAGCATCTCTCATCATAATCTAAAACAGTCCTAAAAGTTAAAAAGAAAGGAAGAAAAAAATCGAATTTTAAACAAAAAAAGAAAAAGCATCATTGTATATCATCTTAGTTCTTTTTATTTTTTAGACTTATTTTTAGTTTTGTTTTGAACAATTACTGTTATTCATTCTTTTACTTTTCTAGTTTCCTTTTATTACAATGCTTACTGTAAAAGAAAATTTATTGACCTTGTATGTATGAGTCAGTCAACAGAACATAATCAATTAAACCAATGGCGGATTATCGCGACGTATTATAACATTTCCACGGTTTTTAAATCGACAAATTGTTATTACAGTATTTCATTTTAAAACTTTAAGTTAAGCATTACAGTATATTGCTTACCGGCGAGCGAGCGCGTGTGTGTAAGCAATAACACTTGCAGGTTGTACGGGCACATCTGACATAGTGCAATCTAGCGGCGACGTTTACGATTATTTTGGGCAGTAAGTGCAGAGTTAGCAGCTCGTATGCTCTTATGTTCTATAACTGTGTTCCCGATCAGAGCCTAATTTTTTGACTTAGGCAAGCCAGGCAATAGCCTATAGCTCGGATCATACAGGAGTCTGTAAATCGACTTGTAAATCACTCAACTGTATTTTCGAATTACATTTAGTGTCATAACGGACCGTAATATGTCCGTTATGACACTAAATAATAAATAACGTTATTAAATTTTAAAAGAATTTAGACTTAATGTTTTCTCAGGTCACGTTTATATATTTACTGATTTACAGACTAAAGACATTGAGCAGAGGATGGAATAAAAACAATGAAATGAACAGCTAACATTCAAGCATAACTTAATTTAATATTTTTTTTCGTTCTTATCTAGTTGAAAGTAATTATAACACTATTTTTAAGAGAATGATAAAAATTTAATCATTTTAAATTTCCGAATATATAGGAAGAAATTTTTAATTTGATGAAGGATTTTCAAAAATTGGAAGGGAAACCTTGTGACATTCGGTACCTTCTAAAGAGGAGTACGTCTAACAACATATCAAGCTTATTATTTGGTCAGAGATTGGACTACGACGATCACAGATCTCGTATTATGCTAGAAAGTACGGAATTGTTCGACAGCTGCAACTTCTACGGGGATCCCTCCGTCTTCTTTCCGTTTCTAAAACCTCTGGTATATTTGTTTACTGATTACGAACGACGTCTTCTCTGGTCGGATATGATGGAAAGTGTCCTAAGGTAATGATTAATAGTTAAATAGTTTAGGATTTCATGATGAAATATCTAAAAACCTGTGGAAAGATATAATATTAACATTCGAAATTCGTACGTTTCTTCGTTGCTAGTTTATTCTCTGATAATTATTAAAAACAAAAATAAATACATAATAAAAAAGAAAAACGCAAGCAAACATATTTCGATTATATTTTCTTTTTTCTTGGATTTTTCGATATTGAATCACTTTATTAAAAATGATTTAGCGCCGTGATGGAAATATATTGAATTATTTCAGCTACAGAATCTCGATTTGGTGTTACAAAGGATTTATATGTATATAAGGTGTAACTGAATTCGATGCCAACATTTTAGGAATACATTCTAGGATAAAAAATAAGCCTAAAATTCTATGTGAAGGTTTTTCAGAATATGCTTCATTTCAGAGCTATGGGACTCTGGTCTGCTATGTGAGAAGGTAAGAAGAATCGAATTCAACGGGTAATCATGTGATCAACAAGTATAGTACAAACTGAAACTTTTTGTTTTAAACGTTGAAAATTGTTTTTCTGAATACATGTTAATTAATTAATTAACCGGTGTGCGCGAGTCGCTGGTTTGTCGTATGCAATTATGAGTCTGAAACCGTTTTTGACGTTTTCAGCAGTTCTTATAAATTATTCTCTTTAATTTTGTTAAAAACAAAATGTTATTCAAAGTAAATTTACATTGAAAAGCTTTTGCTTCCAACTATTATTTTTACTATAAAATAGATGGATAATGCAAAATCGTAAAGTGAGTAAGGCTTTGTTTACATCTGGTCTAGTTAGGCAATATCTATTTACCTCAGTCAGTTAAAAGAAGAAAAAGAAAAAAATACAAAATTAATTCTAAACGTTAATAACTTTAGTTTTATTAATTTGGCAGGAATTTGAAAAGTACGTTTTTGTAGGCCAGATCTGGAAGACGAAACAGATTTTGGGAAACCTTTATAGAGGCGCCGAGTTTAGTTAAACTATATACAGGGTGTTAAGAAATCAGACCTACAAAAAGAATTAGTGATACAATGAATTTTGGTCCTATGAACTGGTAATCGTAGCATTCACCTTTCGACATACAGGCATCTAAAATTTCTTTGCTGTCCTAAATGTTTGCTGTCATACATAGCATGAATGTACTGTACAGTACTGTAGGAAAGCTCACAGCCATTATTGCTCACATGTTTTGTCATATAAAGTTTTAAAACGTAGACAGATGCAAAATTAAAAAATTGAAATCTGAATCAATAAAGAAATAACAACTAAAAGACAAAGAATGCCTTTTAGTTGTTATTTCTTTATTGATAATTCACTTTTAATTGTATCTCAAATCTTAAGAGTTAACAATCAAAAGATTGTATCAGACAAAATACTTTAATAAATATTAAATAATCATGTATCCAAAAGGGAAATACCTTCGTAAGATCAACTAAAGTAGAAGAAACTGTACATTTCATAATAAAAAATTGCGTTTTTACCTAAACTCCTCTTTTAAAATGGCATTCTACTTTCCATTTCCTCGGCATATTCCTGTTCACTTGTAAAAAAAAAAAAAATGTGAATCCTGTACATTTAATTACGTTGTTAGTTTGGCGGGATGCAACGCAACATGTGGATATCTCCCGGGAGAACTTTTATGGGAAACAAGCCTTTATGTAGGTGTTAGACACGTAAAGAAAACCAAGTAAACTCTACTTGGCCATCCCGTTGGTGTGTCGCGAACCCAGTGTTCAGTGGTATTTTAAATTACGTTGCTTAAGTGAGTGTTTATGAGACATAATGGAGAAATTCATATTTTAAAAGCTACTATCTTATTTACGGGGAAGCTAAATGCAAAAACCGATTAGCGTTAAATGATTAAATGGTAATTGGGGCATCGTTTACGACAGTAAACGATGACCCAATCACCATTCAATCATTCAACGTTTGCTGTAATCCATAACCAATTACAAGAGAAAGAATAAAATAAAATTGAAGACAAAACTGTCCAAAAAGGATCACCATTTATTACTTGTGTTCCAAGACTAAAAACATTTTCGGCGACTGACCTTCCTTTTTAGACTACTTGTCGCCGTAAAGTTTACAAAAAGTCCTTTAAAAACACAAACATCCAATTAAAATTTTAAAAAATTTCTGAAAAAGGAACTGGTGACATACAGTTGTCTTGCGTATTTCCATCATACCTTCTTTGGGTTTCTTCTTCTTTTTATCTACTAAAGATTAGCGCTGGAAAATGTAGATTTTTAGAGAAGTTGCCCCCTGGTGACGATATATGTAGAAATTTCTTCTGTAAAAGTTCGTCCGATGGAGAAATATTTCTAATAAAATAAAATTTCCAGCGCTAATCTTTAGTAGATAAAAAGAAGAAGAAACCCAAAGAAGGTATGATGGAAATACGCAAGACAACTGTATGTCACCAGTTCCTTTTTCAGAAATTTTTTAAAATTTTAATTGGATGTTTGTGTTTTTAAAAGGACTTTTTGTAAACTTTACGGCGACAAGTAGCCTAAAAAGGAAGGTCAGTCGCCGAAAATGTTTTTAGTCTTGGAACACAAGTAATAAATGGTGATCCTTTTTGGACAGTTTTGTCTTCAATTTTATTTTATTAGAAATATTTCTCCATCGGACGAACTTTTACAGAAGAAAAAGAATATTTTTAAAAATATCAGTGGCAGGGACGATACGGTCGGTAAGAACTGACAACAATAGCTAGCGATTCAACATGTGTAGCAATAGCCATCAATTAATACGAGAACTATTACCGGCATCATTGGAGAAAATCATCTTAGCATATGAACTGAGCTACGTGAACAATTGATCTTTCATCATCTGGACTTAAGTCCTGCATTTTATCCATAATAGAGACAGTTTTCACTGTGATATTTAGAACTGTGAAAAGCACATTCTTGAGAAAACGAGGATTAATACTCCTTCACAGACACCATTCACAAAATTGTACTCGTGGAAGAAAATCGCTTCTGGCCTGCATTCGATATATTGGTATTTGCAAAGAATACACCATACATTTAAATGAGTGGCGTCTATTGTTATAGCTATTTATTTTGTATTAGGATCCAATCAATTTAAGCATTAACTTGCTCCTTTATATTCGATATTCATATGGTTCTTGCTCTTCCTCTATCAACAGTGACTATTGAAAATGTTCTCGTTTTTCGGTTTCGGTGAAGACCAAAAAGCCAAAGTTTTAATTATTATTTTATTATTTTTAAATTTTATGTTAGTTTTAATTAATTTTTAGGTTTAATCTATTTATTATTAATTTAGTTTTAGTTTTTATAATTATTTTTAATAATTTTTATTTATTTATTATTATTAATTTAGTTTTGCATTAATTTTGCCTGCATTTTTTGAACCCTTAATTACAATTTTTTTAATTAACTGCAACTCATTTTTCTTTTGCGACTTAACTATAGAAATTGTTTTACTGTCGTTTCGCACAAAATATAATCAAATTTAAATCTCAAATAAGCCCTCTACAATCCTCTAAAATCTACATTAACGCCAGTAGATGGCGACACAGTACAGTCGATTCCCCTTAACACTGTTGATAATTCCGTTTTGTATGAATTCCATGTTGTACGAGTCACTTAGATTTTACACATACGTGGAACATAACATGGAATTCATATAAAACGGAATTATCAACAGTGTTATAGGGGGGTCGACTGTATTGTGCAAGATGCTTAAGTACTTACTCATTTCACTTCAGTGATTTTTAAAAATGCTGTTTTAAACTATATTGCAAAATATTCGTATAAATGCTAAAAGTATTTATAATCATAAGCAGAGATTTTTAAGTAAATTGCAAAATCCTCTAATATTTCCAGCCCAAATACTTTGATAAATTATTAATGTTTTCTGTTTCTGAAAGAGACTGTCTCTGCGCAAGAAGTCTCTCATTTGTTAATGAGTTGGCCTTTCTTCAGACCCTCGATGACTTTTAAAATACTTTCGATTTATAGCAATTGGATCCGCCTCACTAATATCGAAGTACAATGCTCTTTTCTTGAAAAATAGCCTATTGGCTAGTAAGTAGCCATATACCTCGGTAGAATCTCCTTGTCTAAATTCGCTAAATACTACAGGATTTAGCAAAACTCATATATAAAAAAAAGAAAAGAAGCAATATTAAGATTATTTCCGCTTCTTTAACTTGGGATTAGCGAAGAAAAAATTGAGATTTATTACAAAACAATGTGCGCGCTTCACATTTTTGGAGTACAAATATAGCCAGCGGGAGAAGTAGTAGTATAAATTTTAAAACATGCTACTTTAACCCAGAATGTTGCAAATAACATTGATTACTCTGACTTTCCTATCGATGATCACACCTCCGAAGATGAACTTGTTGATATCGATCTTAAACGCGATCCTGCGATGGGTGTGTTCAAGAGCAGATCCACTTAATTTAATGTAGATAGTATTGGCGAATATTATAGACGAGGCGTATGATTGGCACAATGTGTTAAATCAAGTATCCTACTATGAAAACGCGATATTCTCTCTTTTATAGGTAACTGTAGCGAAAGTTTTATACGTGCTTTGGGCTGCTTAGAGGGCATTCTTCCATAAAGAGTTTGGTACAAGAAAAAACAGCCTTAGTAAAAGCACTGTAATTAAAAGCACCATAAATGCAGTAAAAGACAAAATGGATGAAGGCACCTATCAAGTTCTTGTACCTACTAGAGCTGTTACAATATGGACGGAAAAACAATACACAGATTCTTAAAAATACCAATACGTGATTTCCACGATTTGACAGAAGTTTTTAGGAATTTTCAACTTGTTATGCAAAATTTAAAGTTTCTAACTTTTTACGATTATTCGATGATTGGTTCTAGAGTATCTAGACTCACAGCTAAAATTAACAGAGGCTAAGGACTCAACTGAACCATTTACAGAGATGATCATCTATTTCTTTGGTGACTTAAGGCAACTGCCCTCTGTAAAAGATCTTCCGCTTTACAATGACTCAAGAGAGAAAATTTCAGCTTTAGGAAAAGCAGCATTTACTTCTATACAAAAGAAATTCTTCCCTCAATGTGACAGGATGCAAGCAAAAACACTTTTGTAAAATTTTAGACTACATTTCTGTTGGAAGAATTGAAGAGAATGGTCGTTATTGATGGCAAGAAGATAAACAGTTCTCGCGGAAGAAATGGTTAGGCTTTGTCCAACGAATGAAAAAGTAAATGATTACTATTTAATGAATTGTGGTAAAGCTGTGGCTAAAATAACAACCGAACACAACAACAGTGTAGCGATGATAAGTTCTGATGAACAAGCGTAGGATTGCCACTCATATTGTACCTGTACCTAGCATTAGGTTGCAGAGTTACGTTAAGATCAAGAAACAACATTTGAGTAAAAAACGGTTTGGTTAATGAGCTTTCCCTAAAGCTCCATTAATCAAGGGACAGTCATAGATATAATATACGGCGAAGGAGGAAGACTACCCACTTTATTAATAACACTCTTGGTTAAATTTGGCAACTATCCAGGACCGACATTAAATTGTTTTTCAATTTTGTCTACTGTATCTTGATGGAAAGATAATGATACAAATTGTTCAAGAAGACAATTTCCGGTACCGGTACGCTCTTATGATCCACAAACCTCAAGGATTAGCTTTAAATAAAATTGTTGGCGATATAAGGCAAAGAAAACAGTCGCAAGATTCTTACGTCGCTCTTAGCAGAATGGAGAAAATCGACGATTTAACATTTCATTTATCATTTAGCATATCAAGAATAAAAAATATAACAGATAAAAGTCGTTGGGAGAGAAATATTTCTGAAATAAATAATAATTTTGAATTTGTATAAGTTGTTGCAGGCNTATCCTCAAAGGTAAAGTGCAAATAAAACTACATTTTTTTTATCAATTATAATTCTGTTATGGTTATTTATACATTTACAACTACAAAATGCACTTTTCAGTGTTTTCCTTACTATAGTTATTTTTTTCAATGTACTACTTAGCTTTAATTTGAGTGTGTTTTTTGTGTTGGAACGAATTATTTGGTTTTACGTGTAATCGTATGGGGAAAAATGATTCACCTTACGACATTTTCATGATAGGATCTCAGTTTCGGAACGGATTAATTTTGTATCCTGAGGTACCACTGTAATTAAAATTTCTATGAGGTAAAAATGAATTTAATTTTCAACTTTACAGTTTGGTTTTATAGGACTTGTTGAAAAAGAATGGTTAGTAACACTTGCTACAGTAGATGTAGATGATGTCATTTATTTAGATTTTGTTGATGTAGGAGAAAAGTTGGCTAAGCAATTAAAGGAAAATGTGAGTTTAAATTAAGTATTTTATAAATTGATATTTTATAAAATATCTTATTACATTAAAAATTAGTTTTAACAGAAAATATTTTTGATGCATAAAACATTATTTAAAGCGTTAAAAGCCGTAGACTGAACATAAAACAGACAATAAGAATTAATTTTTTTCAAATGGTTTTAATGTTACCAAAACCAAAACTAACAGAAAGCACCTTATATAATAGCTCGTGTTGTGAATTGAAATTGTACGAAAATTTGTTCATGCATTTTCAGTTACAAATTGGCGAATTTGCCTGACAAAAAGTGATTTAAAGAAATCAGTTTTATGTACAAAAAGACGAGTTGTTGTAAAGTCGAGGCTGCCTGTAAATAATTTAAATTTATTTATTTATTATTTTTTCAATAATTATTCATTTATTTAAGAAAATGTGAATATGCCATTTCAGAAAAGAAGTAGATGAACGTAACCAACGTTTGAATGAGAATCACGTTATAGACTATATGAATGCGTATCTCTCAGAAGTAAAGACGAGTCCTTTGCATTCTGGTTTGTTGACTGTAATTGTAATTTTTGAAATAGTAAAAATTCATTACATCAGAATGAGTTTTTATATTTTAAGTGACTTTCAAAAATTAAAATTTATGTCTAATAACTATCCAACGTACAATATATTAAATATAATAAGCAGATATTGAATATTAAAAGCTGTGTACAAATTTATAAAATAACAACTGAAAACCAAAGTTTGTAAATAAATGACTAGATTGCCTTTTGTTCTCGTTGTAATTGTTATGAATAAACATAAAATTCGTTGAAAGAACGAATCGTACAGGAACACACTATTAAGGATATACAGGCTTTTATTGATTTCTGAAGAATCAATAGAAATTGGAAATGATTCCTCGGAAATCAATAAAAGTCTGTATATCCTTAATAGTGTGTTCCTGTACGATTCGTTCTTTCAATCAATTTTATGCATAATCATAACAAATGACTAAAGATTTTGCAAATTTGTTTTTGTAAATTTCTATCAAAAGATATCAATTTTCCATTAATTAAAACAAATTTATTGACGTAAGACGTAATAATAGAAAAATGTTCATTTTTTTCTGTCTGAAAATTGCCTTAGTATTTTATTTTCCGACCCTCATAAATGGACGTGTAACTAAAAATTGATTTAAAATTAATAATATCAACAACAATCAAGAATTTTAAATATTAATTGTTATTATGTTGATATAATTCCTAAGTTATAATATAAATATCGTAAAATTTTCCTAGTTTAAAATCTAATTATGATAATTTAATTTTATTTACTTAATTTAATTTTGATTATATCTGTAATAGAAAAAAATAGTTGAGTTATTTTTACAAAAGTAGATGAATAAGTTCTGGTAAATTTTATCTGTGTGTAGATTTCTCCCGTAAACGAAGAGAAATTTAGAGAGATTTAATCCTGCCCATTTGGAAAGAATTAAAAAATTAAATAAAATTAAAATAAAACAATGTATATATGTGAGGTCGCCGAGTTGCTCTTAAAGTCAGAACGAAAGAGAAGTGCCGAATCTTATGTGGGTGTGATAGACACCGAGTCAGACTCAACAGTTACAAAAATATTGTCCCGATTTATTTAAACATAAAAGTAAGGTTTACAGATAAATATAATTCTCAGAGTATAGAGCACGACTGTAAATCTTCAGCTCCTCCTGTTGAGAGAGAAAGTTCTGACGGAAAGACTTATCCGTGTCGACTACCCTGGGGGTAATGTTGATAAAAGTTCACAGAGAAGATGAAGTCAGTTCAGCACAAGTGTCGAGGGTTAAGTGGAGAAGACAACCAAGTAAGGTATACACAACGAGAAATCAGAGAGAGAAGCTCTCTGTGTCCTTGGAATCAGAGATTTTATCAGTTTTGGTTCCAGAAACCACTTCGATTGGTTATTTTTCCATATTCCCACTTTCTAATTGGTTGTCACTCGTTACTAAGTGTAACGAGATCTGAACTCAAATAGTGGGATGAGTCAAAAGCGACATTTAATTCGATCCCAACCGGAGATAGTTGATCTTAGGACTTACATTCTCTAATTTTCCTTTGTTTCTTTTCTGAGAAAAGTTTTTCTCTGTTAAATTTAATGTTTCCCTTTATGGACATAAAAATTTATACTTTAATATTAACAAATTTAGATATTTTTAAATTTTAGTGTGGTTCCGGGACATTTTCGGAGCCTCACATATATAATCACATTTTTTATTTGTGAAACTCCTCCTTAGTCTACTGCATTGTATTATTCTATATAAGTTACTTAAATTGTAAGAATGAAAAATTACGTTATGAAAAAATAATGTATTTTTTACAAATCACATTTTTTTTCACAACTCTTTTAACGACCTAGTTGCAGTTATGATTCGAAAAACATTGTACGACATTTTTTGAGAAATAACGAATCTATAAAATTATTTTCAGTTTACAATTTTTGTTTTATTACAATTTGTTATATTTACAGTAAATTCGCTTCTGGGAAATTCCAAAGCATTCTTCATCGGGGGTAGCGTAACACTTTCGAGTACTTTTGAATGGTTTGTCATAGCCATGGCTATTTATCGTGATGTGCAATCTCGTTGCTTCGAAGAGATCAACAGAGTTGTCGGATTAGAAAGACCAGTTGAAATGTCTGATTTCACAACATTGACGTATGTTCGTGCTGTTATGCTCGAAACTTTTAGATGGAAGACACTGGTACCTCTTAATTTGGCTAGAAGGTAAGCAATTAGTACTACACTTGACAACTGCGAATAATGTTTCTCTGGTTCTCTCATTCTTTACAATCATTCAAAAATTAAATGGAAATTGTAATTAAAGTAAAAAAAAAACTTAAAAATTACTATGATAAATTTTATAATATTGTAATGTTATTTAATAGAGAGGGTGGGCTGAAGTTTTCATCTCTAACAAACGCCATTGTCAAACTTCTAGGCTTACAGGAAAGCGGCGCTGAACGTCCGACGTACACGTTTTCGCGATGAATACGTCGGCCTCAACCTCTTTAATATTTGATTACTGTTAAACTATACCGTATTTTAAAATGGAAACAAACAAAAATTTTCTTTATAAAATTTTAAAATAATTTTCAATTAGACTTTATACCTTTATTTTTTACATTGGTGATATTCATTTATATAACTGATCATTTGATAACATCGATTCAGTCACCTAACGTATTTTTGAAGAAACTAAGAAGGGAAATTCGAAACTAAGAAGGAAATTTCGAAAAATCCCTTCTTAGTGTGCGTTCTCCTAACGTACCCTAACTGTGTACCAAATTTGAACGAAGATTTGAAGCATCGTTCAAGCAAAATGAGCCGAACTTCAATTTCCCGCTTTTAAAGAGAAGTTGTGATGCTTTTCAATTTGTTTAAAACTGTTTTAAGGTGTTTTCATTTATTTATTATTGTTGTTGTTATTATTATTATTATTTTATTTTTGCGGTTTATAAAAATACTAGCAGGTGGGCCCGGCGTTGCTCGGGCAAAAGTAACGATAACTAAGATAAAGATTATTACGTTACAGTCAACCTTACCCGTTTTCACAGAATGCAAAAATTGGGTCCCCTTGTTTCCAGACTAATTAGAGAATTTTTAGATGGGTCTAAAAATATGTTCGATTTCCCGCAAAAACGAAAAAAAACTGCATCTGCGTCTTGCACGTCGCTTTCTCTTAACAATTCCATTATTACGTAGCACTTCCATTGTTGACACTTCCATTGTTACTTAACACTTCCATTGTTACTTAGCACTTCCATTGTTACTTAGCAATTCCATTGTTACTTAGCACTTCCATTGTTACTTAACATTTCCATTGTTGATGGAAGTGTTAAGCCTTAATCCTGTCCCTCTCCCCCGTGGGGAGGAATTTCGAAAAATCCCTTCTTAGTGTGCGTTCTCCTAACGTACCCTAACTGTGTACCAAATTTCAACTTTCAACTCCTAATCGTTTGGGCTCGTATCCATAATGTATATAGAAGTTTTAATCCTGTCTCTCTCCCCCCCGGGGGGGAATTTCGAAAAATCCCTTCTTAGTGTGCGTTTTCATGACATGCCCTATCTGTGTACCAAATTTCAACTTTCAACTCCTAACCGTTTGGGCTCTGCGCTTATTATTATTATTATCATCAACCCGTCTCGATTATATATTAGATTTGTCATGTTGCATTGGTCACAAAATTAAATTTTATTGTCCAAGAAGGCACTTTATTGCACAGTTTTCTCGACACAAAGAAAATCTGTAATTTTATTTTTTAATCCTTTTTGAAAATCTGACAAATTATTTTGTATTTTTAAACTGTTTTAATTAAGTCTTGTTCATATCGTTCTAAAAATGGATATGACAAATTTCAATGAACCTAATACAGATGTATTCGATATATCTTAGTTTTATATGGAGATTAACTGTACTTGGTATTATCTTCTTTTGTTACATACAAAATAGCAATATATGCTGACTATTAATGAAATTGATTCGTTTTTATTTGTTCCAAACGTTCGAATTATTGATAGGACCTCATGGAAGTTTTATCAATGGCAGAACCAGGTGTAAATCTCAGAAAGGGTTATAGCTTGTGTCGTCATTCTCTGAATTTGATACTAAGTCCGATACATCCGATGCTACAAAACTAAACAATTTCTATTAAATTTTATCAGTTCCTTTATCAGTATCAGAAAAGCCAAATGCCAAAAGTCAAAAGTCAAATGGTTCGATCTGATATTTAATCTGAAGTTACACGTATAGCAATATACTTTGATGTACTGTACTTTAATTACTGAAAATTTTCAGTAAAACTACTCAGTGAATGAGTTGGTATTAGGTGTCATCTTCAACACGTAACACCAGACTAAGAATCCTGATACAAATCGAAGTGTTTCATGGTAATAGGAATATTCCTTGGCATTCTGATTTCAGATAGGTATCCTTATTTTTTTTTTAATTCTCTAACATGTTTGAGTTCTGTATTTATTTAAATTTCAAAACTAATCATTGTTTCACAATAACAATTATCAAATTTTTATGTTAAAATTAATATTAAGATATTGCAATTTGATGATATAAGATGTATGATAGAAATCATGTTAAAGATGATACCAGACGTATATTTTATTTTAAACTAGAATTGTATTCACGAATTCATAATGTATTATTCGTTGATATCATATCCAAAAAATTCACAACTCTTTTAAGACTTCTTTTTAATTCAGCTTTTAAACTAGAATTGTTTGGACAACTACACAAATCTTTGTGTTGCCAACAGATTTCATAATCTTTCAGAAATATAGCGATGAAATCTTAGATTCTATTACCAAATCATTTACTTATGATATTAGTGACATTTTTATCCTACAGATAATAACGCCTGACCTCATAGAGCCAAAATTACGGAGCAATATTTTATGGAGAATATCAGCCACAAGAATTGATTATCTCGTTTCCTTGACCTCAACTCTACCGAGCCAAGACCTTACACATGCCTTAATCAGACATGTTTAAGGTCTTACTCATTAGTTTACCTCCTCGAATCTTGCAGGAGCTTAGTTTCTATTCTACCAAACACATGTACAGTACTTCTATTAGTTCCAAAAGTGATTTTTAGTATGAACCATGTGAGACATATATTACTATGAGTGGTAATCATACTTCTTATTAACTGAATGTTTATGTCTATAAAACATGAATTTTGATCAGTTTTCATCGTACATCAAATTTTCTATATTAAATGATTATATTTAACTGTTATTTGAATATTATTAAAACACACTTTGAATTACACAATAATAGCAAATTTCATAAGGTAGCTTTAAAAATTTTTCCACACATTCAAATTTCATTTTGTTCTTTAATTTTTGGAAACTAGTGTGTTATAAAAAGGCCATGTGAAGTTCTCTCAAGTTTCTAGCAAGTGATAACGGGCGTTTCTGGTATGTTCGACTACAGTCCTGATTGGTATCTCAGTTGGTCCTAATTCATAGCTGGCTGTGACAGATTCTAAACTCTATGAGAAAGTTAAACTCGATAGTATTGAGTTGAACTCTCACCATAAGCTATATTTACATAATTAATTTGCATAATACTTCACAAAAATGTTTTAACTTTAAAAGTAATAATAATTTTTCGTTAGCATAGCGAATGACGTGGAATATCGAGGTTACATCTTGCCAAAGAATGCATTTGTCTTCGTCAATATTTGGGCCATCCACAACGATCCAGAAATTTGGAAGAAACCGGAAGAGTTTTATCCCGAAAATTTCCTCGATGAAGACGGGAATATCATCAATTCTGAATTTTGCATTCCCTTTAGCATCGGTAAGATGTTTAAAAAAATTATATTTGGTTACGTAGCATTGTATTTCTAATAGTAATTTGCTGTTCCTTCCTAAAGTTACGAATTCAGAAAATAAAATTCAACATTGTAACAGTTCAGTTTCGTTCAATTCGCGTATCGCGCGAACTCTTTAATATATCACGCCATTACTACTATTTCTACCATATATTTCATTTCAATGATAAAAGAAAGCATGAATCACTAAGCTGCTGGAAATAAAAAACTTCGCAATAGGTTTTACAATTCTCAAATAGAAAGAGCAATGGCTCCCCGGAAAAATTTTCTAGTTACGCCATTGTTTCTGCTTTTATTGCAATTTTAATTTTTGATATTCGGATACTAATTTATCAAGTTATGTAAATTTACTTAAAATTTTTTCGCATTTATTAGTTTTAGATATTCTTTCTTTTTATTGTAAAACAACAATCTTGCTAAAGAATAATTTTGTCTTTTAGGTCGAAGATCTTGTCCGGGAGAAAACATTGCAATCTTAGAAGCGTTTCTTTATATGGCTGCATTTATCCAGAAATATACTTTTCATCCTCCCTCCGACAAAGAAACTTTTGACTTAGACGGCATAACCACACTTACTCATTATTCGAAACCGTTCGAAATTCTTTTTCGTCCAAGAACGTAAACGAATAGAAGTTATTAGACAAATCTATCTCAAGAGAAATTTTTTAAATTCTTTAATTTGGTGAGTTAAAAAATGCAGGGGCGTGCCGTGACATTTGATGATAGGGAAGCTGTGTTTCTATAAGAAGCCGACATCCAGGGGCAATCAGTTAATTCTTTCTTTAAATGTATTTTTAATAGATTATTTATCTGACGTACTTAATAAACAAGTTTATTATAATTACCTCTGTTATTAGATCCAATATATTCCATATGCCCTCTAAATGCCAATTCTTGCTTTGATAAAAACATATAACATCTATTTATTTA